TGTACATATATGACACATATTGACTTTTATATTATATGAAATTTATAATTTTATAATTTAAAATATGAAATATTTCTGAAATATTTCATGCTATAGGTATGAGAAAAATAACAATTTACTAATCAGTAGATAGTATTCCTAAAACGTATTTTTAATATACATATTTAATATTATAAAGATATTGAATAAATATAAAAAATAGAGGAAAATTCCTTATTATGAGATAGGTGCCTTATATGAGAGAACGGCTAAACTAATAAACGCTATTGGTTCCATCATGAATTTATTGTTCTTAGATTGAAAACTGTTTAGTGGAAAATTATTATTGTAGATCGTGCCTGTAGACGTTGCAAAAAAAGACTTTAGAATTTAGATGTTTTCAAATTTTTTTGAGATGAGCTTTTAAACCTTATTTATTATTTAATAAGTAAATATTTGGCAATAAATTCTTCATGTGATGATAGAGTAAGATCGTACTAATAGAAAATTGATATGTTGTTTAATTGTTTAATTATTTAATTACAGAAGTTAGATTTGATGATCATAAAACTATAAGGCGTGGAAATCGTAATATGAGATTCCCAGGATATTTCTAATATGAAATAACCTTTGCTTCTATGTTATAGTGAAAATGTTACAGTGAAAATTGCTAAAGTATAAATGTTATTGTACAATAATAAAAAGGATAATCGAAATACACATCGAGTGCCTGTTTCTGCAATGCTTCCAACTACCTGGAGAATCAGCTAGGTACAATGCATCGCATACTCATTTTGTATGCGCACTGGCTGTGTTTATTTGTATTTTAGAAACTTTATTTTAAATAAAGTTTTTTAATTATAATACTGATGTATTTTGCATTTTATTATCGATTTCTCAGAACAGTTCATATTAGGAGCACAATTTTTTGACTTTTTGATTTGCTCACTTTTTACATTTCTTTAATTTATAAAAAAAATGAAATTTGAATTAAATTTTACATAACATTATCTTAAAGCTTAAATTCCCTTCAAAATGATTCCCTTCCCTATTATTTTTTTAAATTCTGCCTATAGATTTCTAGCATTTACCCAAAATGAACTCGGTATCTCATAATAGAGGCTTTTCCTCTATATTCTAAAAACATTATCTGCCGATTGGGAAAAGATAAAACATACGTAAGAAGAAAAAGAAGAAGAAATATGTAAACAAAAAGAATATATGTATACCGATTATGTGCAAGAAATTTTTAATATACGCAAGATTATATGAGGTTAAAATAAAAATCGTAATCGCTCGGAATCATAATCCTGTTCTTGATACCTTTGTGACACATATACTATCAGGATAATAATGATGATAGAGTGTGATAGAACTTGTCTTCGATAAAAATGATACAACATAACTACTTAATAATCATCTCTGCTAACGTAACGTAAAGAATAGTAATTCATGTAGAGTAGGTAATCTAACAGTGAACTAATATACTATAAACTATTACGATATTTTATTACGTAAATGCGATGTTATTAGATTATACTGTTATCATATAACAACTCACATTTGAACCCTTCCTCGGCTCCCCAGTTGACTGGCAGATCGTGTCAAGGACGGGTATGTAATATCACATTTTAAGAATTTTGGATTGCAAAGTAAATTTTTTTCGTAAGTTTTACGCATTTTTTATGTGTTTATTATTATATTTATCATTTTTTTTATTGTGCGTTAGTTTTGTGTGCACATTTAGCTATTCTGTAAGCAACTTTTTTCTGTTGTATTATTTTACCACATTATTTTGGAAATTATTGTGGAAAAGGTTAAGTCTATAATGAATCATTTTGATGTAATGAACAATGAACTATGATTCATTGATAACCTTTTTTATGATAACCTTCAAAATAATAATTCATTATGGTAATTATTGTATTTAGAATACGGCCCCTTTCCCCATTTAAAATCCCGGGAGCTCCTTGCTTTTCATACACCGTTATAATCTTTATCTTTTCTTTGTTCATTATAAATTCGGAGCTTACAATACCTTCCTTTTATTTTTAACTAAACTTTACTTCCGGTTCACCCCAGTTTTTTCTTTTTTCTATAAAACCACCTTTAGCTCTCCCTCTCCTTTCCTTGCAAAGTTACAGGTAATCTCCCTTTTAGACAATCCCACCCTTTTTCCTCCATCCATCTCGCACAAACTCACGAAATCAAAACTTTTTAAATTCTAAATCTCTAAAAATTCCTATCCTTATTCCAAATCCCTGCACAGTTCCAAAATAACATAACTGTCTTTGTCTTTCCTTTCTGTCTTTTTCTTTTTGTCTATTCCTTTTCCTCTTGCCTCTTTTCTTTTCCCATTGCCCCTCCATATTTTATCTTTATAGCTTTATTTCTATACCTTCCCTTATTCTTTTCCTGCCTCTCTCTGACTACCCTTCTTGGCTTAGCTAAAATTCTTTTCTTTTTCATTCCCCAAATTACACTTTGCCTTCTCGTTTTCCTCTCTCTTTTTGTTCCTTTTTTTTTCCTCCTTTCTAACTCTATTCCATTCTTTCCATATCCCATTGATTCTTATTCTTCCTAATCCTACTTTCACTTTTTTGCTCTTGCCTCTTTGCTCCTTCGCCCTGTTTATTTTTTCTTATAATTTTCTCTCCTCCGAGCTCAAATCATTCTCTATGAAGACCTTACCTCCCTTAAGTTTATGTTTATTATTCATAATTACTCTCTTATCTTCTTTACTTTCTACTCTTAGAACCCTTCCACTCTCTCTGATTGTCACTACGTTACAGTCTACCTCTAACTTGTTTTTTACCCATTCTTTTACGCCATCTTCTCTCCGCATATTTTCCTTTTCTTTAATTTTCTTACCTATATCTAATCCCGTGATTAAAATTTTTCTTCCTTTTCTCCCTTTCACTATTTATCCAATATTTATTCAATATTTATTCAATATTTATTCAATATTTATTACCCATCTCTATAGAACATTCATCTCTTCTATTGCTTAAGCCCCCTTCATTGTAAATGTCTGCTCCTATATATGTTCTGTATCTTCCCCTCTCACTATGCTTCTAGTTTTTTCTAACTCACTATCCCCTTTCCTACTGCTACTTAACCTCATCTTTTAGTTGCTCACACTTAACCTCTAGTCCTCTACATTTTTCCTTCAAACCTTAAAGTCTCTTAATCACTGCCTCTTTCATTTTTGTTTTGACTATTTCTCTTTCGATCTTTTACTCTCTCTTTCCATACAGTCATATAACTCCCTCCTTGTTTCCATAATCTTTTCTTCTAACCAATCTTTCATCTCTTTTTTCTAGTTATTTATCTCTCTTTCCGTATCTCCTTAATTCCTCCTTAAACATATCTCTTCTTCTCTCTTCTTCGTATTCATAAATCCTATTCTTTTTATCTTTATTATTTTCCTTTGGTCTATTTCCTCATCTTACATCCTCTACCTATTCCACTGCCGGCCGCGCCGGCTTGTTCTCTTGTCATCATAATCATCTTGTTATCATAATCTCTTCGATCTGCCAAGTACACTCGCTTAATTTCTACTATGGCTCGCCCACCTCTGCTTCAATCTCACCTTCGCACCCTAATCTAACTTAATCTCTTTTTTATATATCACATTAAACTCCTCAATTACCAATCTATCTCTTCTGAATTACGCACCGCT